CTGCAGATGGAGGCTCGGCACTTCTGGAAGAACTGGAGGAAATGCTGAGAAGTCTTCTCTCCTGCAGGACAGCGTTGGCTGTGTTCACACTCCCCAGACATTAGGGACAACACAGAACACTGAAAAATCATTCCCAAGAATGCTCAGCCAATTGCTGTGGTTGTTTGACAAGAGTTCAACTGCTCCCCTCTCCTCCTGTTTTTCAGAAGCTTAGATTTTCCTCCCTTTTTCTGAGACAGTTTATGTATCTATTGATGTATGAAAATAATTTTCTTTCTTGACAAAACTCAGAGCGGATGGCTCTGAACCTGTGTCCCAAGTGCAGCCTGTCTTCCTCTTTTCCTTTCTTAATTGGATTAATTTTTAATTGATTTTACATAAAGATATAAAAATCATGCATATCCATGGGGTACCATGTGACATTTCTGTACACGTATCTAAACGTTAAAGATATGTCTCGCCCCAAATATCATTTCTCAAGGGTAAACAACAGTTTCTTTTTTTTTTTAAGGATTGCTTAACTACGTAAGCATAGTGTCGATGGTGACATCTGTCTCAGGAGTGACAGTCTGTCCCACTTATTGCAAGGACCAACTGTAGTGAAGGTCAACCCTTTCCCCCTCCCAAAATATTTATGAATCTCATACCACTCTCTAAGGGAGTAAGAGAGCATCCCATAAAATAACAGAGCATCACACAGAGTGACAGAGTATCACAGAATAACAAACCATCCCAAAGAGTGGCAGAGTATCACGAAGGGGAACAGAGTATCTCACAGAATAAGAGCATCACAGAGCATCAGGGGATCACAGAGTAACAGAGTGTCACTTGAGCCCTAAGGGAGCGCTCAGCCTCTCACCTGTCAGCTGGGTTTTAAGTTCATTTGCAGTTAATGACTTCATGAGGGATTCTAAGTGATAAATAAACAGACAAATAAATGAGTACTCTCGTGCTCAGATAATTGACAAGTGAAAGCAATCCATCCTCGAGTGTCTTCCCTGAGTAATATTCTCCCAGCCAAACTACATTTCCAAACCTCAAATGAACGCTTTCAGAGTTCTCACAGGCACAGGACCCTGTCCCGGGAGTGACAAAGGCTGAGTTGTAAAAGCCAGGGCTGAAAACTTGCTAAACACAAGAAGCAGCTGGCCTGGCCGATGGCACCTGCTGGGCTCACTCTGAGGGATATGAGTGTCTGGGAACAGAATTCACTTAGCAGCGAAAACGTTGATTGATGATGTAGGAAGTGAATGTATTTATTCCTGTAATCTAAGCGATCAGATGATTTCCGTTAAACTCTTCTGGGACTTAGTCTTACTCTCTTTCTCTTTTTGAACCGAAAGGAATCCACCCGCTCCACACATGGAGGCTTTGTCCCGCTCCTCTCCCTTCCCCTTCACTGCCTCAGTCTCCCCTCAGTTTCCCCTGTGAGCAGCTGGGCTGGGAAACAACAGTTACAGCCAATTTTGACATTGCTTGGGTCCTTTCTGATTTTTTAAAAAATGTTCTAATTGTAAGTATTTGAGGGGCTTTTAGTTATAAATTCTGGCTTAATTTAAAATGATCCAGTACATCTAAAGCATCTAATCAGATTGTCAGAGGAAGCCAAATGCAGGCAGAACAATTAATTGCCTTTCCCTGGGAAGACATCATGTGTATTTCTGCTTTCCGCCCGGCCCTGTGGAGCCCGGAGGCCAGAAAGCTAGAGAGGAAATGGGGAAGTGAGTCTGAGTCCCCTGGGGAACATGGGAGTGGGGGGGGGGCGCAGAAATGACAACCTCGTCCTGCACACATCACCAATGGGCTGGGGACTTCAGGGAGAGATTCAAACATAGACCAAAGACCCCACAGGCACTCCACAGGCAAAGACCACCATTAAAAACTCAGTTAAATTTATCACAGATTTCAAAATTGCTGGGAGAAAGGACTGTGAAGGTTCTACAACAAAGAAACAATAAATAAATTTAAGACAATGGATTTGCTAATTTTCCTGAGTGGATCAGACCACATTTAAAGTGTATCAAAATAATACATGGTATCCCCACAAACGTGTATGATTTCTATGTGTCAGAATGATTTATTAAATGATAATTTAAAAAATCCATTTTATCATTAGAAATAAAAATACATTAAGCCATTATCAAGGAAAAAGACTAGCACTCATTTGACAAGGTACTGATTTCTTTTAAATGATATTACTTTGGATCCAGTAATTTCTATTCTGGAAACACATTCTTTAAAAAATGTATTTTGGAGAACCAAATGCCTGTTGGGGAAATGGGAAATGGAAATATTCCACTCAGTGGCCAATCAGTAAAATACGTCAACAAAATTTCAAAATAGCATGGAGATTGCTTTTCATATAACTATCAGTGGAAAAGCTAAGAGAAATGCATGTACCCCAAGCTTGCAAAACAAGCAAACATAGGGAAAGGTATGCACGTAGTAAACAGATGGAAATATTAACAGCTAACATTGTTAACCAGTGTTTTTTTATTTCCCACTGTCCCAGCGTTTCCATTTTTTATCTAATGACTACACATCACTTTAATCATAAAAATATTTACAAATCTACACTTCTTAGGCCAGGCATGATGGTTTCTGTCTATAATTTCAGCTGTTTGTGAGGTGACAGTTGGGAGGATCAGTTTGAGGCCTGCTGAACAAAAATTTAGTGAGTCCTCATTTCAACCAATAAGCCAGGCATGGTGGCACATGGCTGTCCTCCCAGCTACGTGAGAGGTATAAACGGGAAGACTGCCATCCAGCCCAGCCTGAGCAAAGAAGTGAGACCCTATTGAAAAAACTAAAGTGAAGAGAGCCGGGGAGTGGCACACGTGCAAGGTGTTCAAACCCCCAAAAAACTCTACTTCTTTAAAACTAGGCAAAAATAAATAAATAAAACCTAGGATGATTGAATCATATCAAAAGTACTTATTCCTATTTATCTCAGTTAATTCATGATTTTTGATCAGCCTGTGTTATCTTACCCAGATTACCAAGCAGAATTAACTGAATAAATATGGAAAAAGGAGGCATTTGGGTTTATATTAACTTGTTTTAAAATAAGGCAGGAGGAATCTTAGAAAAAGTAGATGAAAACCAGACATAGTCCATATAAGTGTGTAAAGATCTCTACCACAATGCAGAAGCCTCAGTAAACCTAGAAACAACCCCATGGTAAATGCTACTTGTCCACTGGATACACACATAGTTTTTTAGTGTTCTGCAGAAATTGTCAGCCAAGTGGCCCCGGGCAAGTAGACTGACAGATGACTGGTCTCAGGGACCTCCAGGACCATTTCTGACCCAAGATCCCCTTCGGCACTTGAGTTTCTGCTTTGTCACACCCAGAGCCCTAGGCAGCCCCTCACCCCAGGATGCTATGCCAGGGCTCGGACTGGCCTTGGCCAGATCAGTGTATGGCCGATAATAAAAGCCATGTAATTGTCAGTGAATTAATGGAAGTAAATGGGTGAAGTCTCTCTGGTAGGCTCCAGCCCCAGAGTTTCCAATGGGTTTCCTTCCTCCTCTAATATCTGCCATACCACTTTGCCTTTATTCACCCATCTCTCGCTCTCTCCCCTTCTCTTTCTCTCTCTCTCTCTCTGTACTGGGATTTGAACTCAGGGCTTCACACTTGCTAGATAGACACTCTACCACTTTGAGCCACTCTGCCAACTCTGTTTTGTGTTGTTTTTTTTCCAGATAGGGTCTCATGAACTATTTGTCCAGAGCTGGCTTTGAACTTCCATCCTCCTGATCTCTGCCTCCTGAGTAGCTAGGATTACAGGCATGAGCCACTGGTGTCTGACTTCACCATGCCTTGATTTCCTAGTTTGTGCCCGTTAGAATTCAGAAGAAAGCAAGCCATTTGTATTCTAAACTGACAACTTTCCACTCAGTTAGTGCAAAGCTACAATCAACCTCACAAGAAATAAACCATCTCTTGTGTTAACTAGCAGAGGTTTAGAACGTGAAATTGAGGTCATTGGCTGAGAATCCTAGCACTTAGCTAACAAGGGGAGTCTGCAGGTGACAAGGGAAAAGGACACCATTCTGCCTGTGTCTGGGGAAGAGGACTTTGAGCTGCCGACCTTCACTAAGGACAATCATGAGCTAAGCATCTCATTTTATAGAGGAAATTTATTTTTAGAATCTCTGATCTCTATTAAATTTTTACTCTCTTGCCATGAAACTCTAGGAAACCCTTTAATTTCTCTTAAAATGAGTCTCATGGGGTCATCATGCTTATTAATGTGACTTCACTTAATAAATGTAAAAATATAATAAAATGTTAATTTGGTTATTATTAATGTCATGCTGAAGTAGTTAGGATTGAAATGTCACTGTGTCTGCAACCTGGCTCCAAATGTACCAGAGAGCAGGAGGGGAGGGATTGCACAGATGGAAAGAAAACAATTGTAATGAAATGTGATGATTGTTGAAACTCCAGTTAGTGTCCAGATAATGGTGATACTGTATCAAAATTCCCGTTACTTTGTTAATGAGTTAATGAAGAACTGAATGAACCAATAATGGAAGTTCATTTCTTTCCAAATAGAAAAGCAAATATTGAGGGGGAAAAGATAGAAGCAAAAACAGTGCTATGACTGCTCCTCTTCTGGACTCTGCTGTGCTCACCGGTTATGATCCTATGTCTCTAAGCCTCTTTGTTGAGAGGCAAAAGTGGGGGAATTAAGCCCTGCTTTTGTGTCCCCTAAGTGCTCTGTGAACACCAGCCATGGTCAGTGATGTAGAACGCTTTAAGTCACAGAGCCCTGACTGGGCATAGGGGATTACAGATGGGAAGGACAGTACCAAGTCATCCCTGGGGCACCTGGCCTGGCCGTGCCTCCCACCTTTGCTGTCCAGACTCCAGCCAATCAGCGTGGCCACAGCCAGTTCTACATTGCATATGCATGACCCGCCCCCTGGCCTCTTCCTGCTCCCAGCACCAGCATCAGGCTGCAATCCTGCTCCTGAGAAGGAGAGGGTAGAGCTACTGTATAGCTCCCATTCAGAAACCTGGATTGAAACAGTCCCTTGCCAGTTGCCTTCCCAGTTAGCCAGCCCCCCACCTCCCGGGCCAGCTCCAGGGATCGCTGGTGCCACCAGGGGCAGCTCTTATGAGACCCTCAAAGACATCCCAGCGCTACAGAAGCATCCGGAGAAATGCTAGCCAGCACTTCCTCTACCAGGAGTCCCTGCTGCTCAGGTGAGGTCCCCTCCATCAGCTGGAAGAGGTGTCCGGTGTGTGAGGAAGTATGCATGGGCCACTGGGAGGAGGTAGGGACAAAAGTCCCCGTCCTGTTTGGTTCTTCCTTGAGTTAACTCAGAAACGTTTTGCAGGCTTGCACAACTGGGGCACTGTGAGCACTCAACAGTGCTCACAGTGGGAGACAGCTGTGAGCCACTGGTTCTTGATCAGGGGATCAATTCCAAAGCTTGCGTCCCATACTGGCTTTGTTGCTGACAGGTCCACATATTTGGTTTATCTGTCTCTGTTTGCTTAATCAGCAATGTCAGGCAAGAGCAGATGATCCACCAGTCACAATAAGTCTGCTGGATAAGGCTTCAGACTAGTTAGAAGTGGGGGAGGGTGCCATTTGAATTTGTTAGGTACTTCTAATGAGTATTTTGTTGAGTATTAAAACCTCCATTTACTTTGGAGAGATGAGAGAGCAATTCTCCTGTGAGTAAGGAAAAACAATCTGAGTTAGATGAAAAACAAAGGAAATGTTCTCCTGTAATAGCCATGGAAGAATGTTCATCTCCTCCTGGCAAAGTTAAATTAGGATGGCATACTCTTGATGGCTGGGAAGCACATTGTCTCATGTTGAAAATTTGTTCTAGAGAGAAACTGCTTTATTTCCCCGAAATATTTCATCCATGTATGTTCACTTAGTTTCCTTCCTGTCCACAGAAACTGCTGCTTGGTTCTTCCATCATTATTTTGGGTTTAAAAGGAATCAAAGTGGGAAGGCAGAGAAGCTTTTTGTTTGTCTTTATTTCTTTTACCCGCAGAGTTGGAGAGTGAGAAGGAATTCTGTCTTTAAACTTCCCTTATTTTTTTCAATGAACCTATTAAAAAAAATTGTTTTGCCTACCAAATTTGCTGCTATTCAGGAATCAGATCAAACATCAGGACCCTCTTGTCTCTTTTTGTGTCTTCTACTAGTGTCTTTCATCCTGAGAAACCATTCTCTGTCACCAACCACCAAAGGAATAGAAGTCCATCAGTATGTTTCAGTGGGCTGCTAACAACGCCAAATTCTCTGGTCACCTCCACGGATCACTGCACCTGTGCACAGGCACACTCACTCTCTCTCTCTCTCACACACACACCCTTTCTCTCTTCACACATACACACTCACACACATGAGCACAACTCTCTCAAACACATTCTCTCTCACACACACACTCAACACTCTCTTCCTCACACATACACACTCCTCTCTCTCTCTCTCTCTCGCTCTCTCTCTCTCTCTCATACACACACACATTCTTTTCATATAGATGACCCCAGGGCAGTTATGTGATTCAGAAATTTCCCCAGGAAAGATGATCATTGCCAAAGCAATCCTGCTAACCTAACTGGTCTCCTTCTCTGTGCTCATCCATTCAGCAACCTGGGTGACAGCTTCAATGGTGATGAAGCAGGGGACAGCAGTGACCCAGAGCAAATCTTCCAGAACATTCAGTTCCAGAAGGATCTCATGGCAAATATTCGCTGCAGACCCTGGACGATGGGAGAGAAACTGAGGGCATTAAGGTGAGGGCCTCTAAGCCCTATGGACTATTGTAAGCCTGCCTTGCAGGAAAGCGCCTCACCCTTGGAAATAAGGACAAAGACCCACGTAACAGCCATGTGTCCATCACTCTTGATTGACTCAGAGAAGCCACAAAGATGTACAAGGGGTCTAGATGGTCCACATAGCTAGTTTCCCTCTCTACCCGCCCCCCCTCTCTCTTTCTCTCTATCTATCTATCTCACTCTCTCTCTATTTCTCTCCACTATCTAGCTCCATCTCTGTTTGTATATGGTGTGTATCTCTCTGTTGGGTGTGTGTTGGTGGAAAGGTTTGGTTTTCTACCTCCTTTGCAAACACTGTTTTTAGCCCTGTCTCCAGACTCCCAGGATGGAGTACAAGCCAGAATGGAAAGGGATGCTCACCTTAGCTTTCTTGCTATTATCTCTCTGGGGGAGAGTGTCTCCAGAAAGCCAAGTTATTACCATAGAGTCTGATTAGAGACTGTGTCTCTATGATGGTTAAGTGCTAGGGATTTGATGACAGATTTCCCGAATTTGAGTACTATCTTTTCCAATCTCTAGCCATTTGATATTGGGTCTTGCATCCCGCACAAGCTTGTCCTAGAAACCTTAACTGGGGGGCGACAGGAGATGTGGGAAAGACAACAGACAGCAGACAAAACGTGCATAAAGCTGGGGCCAGGTAGACTGTGTGCTCAGATGGAGACACATCAGCACCCCCCACCTCCAGGGCACTTATTATATACAGTAGCAACGCAAGGCGGAGAAGCATTTCTCGGGGGAGAGGGCGTGACACCGTGATCCTCGGGAACAGGAGGAACCTGTGACAGCTTCTCATGAAAGGAAATAACAGCTGTACTGCATCTTGCCCACTTCTGCAGCTGAGGCCGTGTCAGTCAAGCGTGGATTTTACTGGGCATAACTATACTTGCTCCCTTCTGCAGTTTGGGGCTGAGCCAAACTCAAACACGCAGCTTATCCAATACACCTGTCGGCTCCCCATAATTGGGTAATTTTTTTTTCAATTTCTCTAAACACTGGTTCATTTCTCTGTAAAGCTGAAGAATAGCCATTATGTCCTGCAGCACTGTTTCCAAAAAAGTTAACCGCTGAGTACTCAGGGTGCTTTTATAAACTCAGATTCAAAACTGTTGCCCCTTGACCTACTGAACCAAACTATAGGGTTGTTAAGTGAGTGACACACAGTCTCCCAGCATTTTTTATCATAAATTCAGGTTGATTCTTTTGCATACTAAAATTTGAGACCATTGAAGGATAAAATGGCCTAAGACTTGTGGGTGCTGAGCAGTGTGTGGAGCACACACTAAGAGTGACTGGACGGCTGGTACTGACGTTAGGGATCCAGCCCAGCCAAGGGAGTCAGCAGAATAACCCTGGGCCTGGTACTCACTGTGTGGACAGGACCACCATGCATCTTGCTCTTCACTGCTGTGTTCTAGATTCCAACCAGTTAATCTCTTGTCCCCATTCCTACCCTTTACTGGATTGCATTCCTTATTTTCTCCAGCGCTGGGCATCAAACCCAGGGCCTTGTGTATGCTAGGCAAATACTCTGCCATTGAGCTACATCCCCAGTCAAAGGCTTGCATTTCTTTCCCATCAAAGCATCCCTTCCTTGGATTTGCATTGCTGTCACTGTTCCTACAGCCTGACCACCTTACCCCTTAGGTGGCTACAACAGTTAGTTAAAACCATCACAGACTTCACCCTCAGATGAGATCCAGCACATTCAGGGTAGTATAGCCGTAGACAAACTTCACCCTCAGATTCTCCTTCGTCTGCCTTCCTTGTCTGTTATTGGCTCTCCTCACTTCCATTTCTTGAGTTACGATGGTATTGTGTCCACTTTTGAGGTGGAAGGACTGATACTCAAAAAACATTAAGGGACCTACCCACGCTAACCATGGCTTCTGAGTGCCAGAAGTAAGCTTTAAGCCACTTGACCTCAAGTCCAGTGTTCTCTTGAATTGAAACAGAGGTATTTTACCAAAGTAAGCATTGGAGCAATTCATCTAAAAAATACAAAATGAATGCTCTATCCAAACTTTTAAAAATCACTCAGAAATGATGACGACCAGTTGTTATTTGAGTAAAAGGAGGTTAAGCCTTTTTAACCTGGATGCCAGGGCAGAACAATTCCTTTCTGTCAAGGACCTCAGAAACAAAAGACACAATCTCAATCCTTCTGCCATGTTGGCTGGCTCCAGAGCACCACGATGGTGGACACAGGCCATGGAAAGGTCAATGCCCTCCAGATGCATCTTGACCTCTGAGCACTCTCATCCATCATCCCCTTGTGACACACACCTCTCCTCTGTCACCTTGAGAAGCTACTGGAGCAACACTTCAGTAATTGAACCTGCTGAGGTCTATCCCAGTGCCTCTGTAGAAGGTACAGGAAAAGCACTGGAGCTGACTGGGAGTCAAGGGAGATTGCCCACACAGGTAGAAAGCCACCTGTCTAGAAGGGCACAGCACACACTTGTTTCCCCTGTAGGGAAGCAATTGTCCTGATGGGCAGGGCTGACCGGGGTTAGGTCCACCCCTCCCTACTCTCTCTGTGCCTGGGCACCCCTCCCTCACAGCACTTGCCATACCCGCTCTCTCTTGTCATCACATCTTTAGATCTCTTTCTTCTTTACTAGGTGGGGAACTTGTCCTGGGTAGGAGCTCTATTTTATGTATCTCTATTGCACTATGCTTGACCCAACGTAGGTATGTAGAAAATGTTTGTAGGGAAAACAGTCATGAATAAACACATGAAATGAATTGTTATTTGAATTTGGTAGGTTTTTAGTTTTAGATGCTTGTTGCAGGCATCTGTATTGAGGCTGACCTCTCGGTTACTGGGGTCCAGACATCAACCCTCACCTCTACGTGCATTCCTTGTTTTCATTGGAACAAAGCCAGTACATTGGATGGGCTGTAATGAGGATATTGCAAGTGAAGGGAGGACAGAGGTCCAAAAACCCAGGTCATGTTTTGAAGAGATCACCTGTCTGTGGAAAGGGATTTGGCTTGTCCCTCTGTCTCCTGAGGAAAGACTTACAAACAGTGGGTGTTACTGGGAGATGGCTCAGAATGCACACATTAGGATTACTCTAATGAATAAACTGGTTGAACTAGTGAATTGGCTGATTCAGAAGGACTAAGTTCTTTAACTCTGAGTGTGTCAAATAGAGATGGCGGGCCATCAGATGAGGATCTCCATATGGAGTGACGTGTGATTAGGTTATTCTGAGTGACACTCATCTCTAAGAGTCTTTGACTTCAGTCTGTCCCATGACACTAACATTTATTTTCTAACCTTGTTGTTCATTTAGTTGTGAATTTATTACCGTATTCCAGTGAGTCAGCCCATTTTTAAGGCTCAAACACTTAGAGATATCGGGTCAAATCAGCAAAGTGATCAGTGGATGTGTGAACAGTTTGTTTGGCTGAGTCAAGATCATAGCTATATAAACAGCACTTCCTTGCTCTTATTAACCAAACGCCACCCTTTTCTTGAAGTGGATTCTCTGTAGTTCGGTCTGATTTTTCACTTCCAAAGAATTGACAGAAAGAGGAAGGTTGCTAAGTGGAGAAGGTGAGAGACTAGTGCCTGCTGCTAGTGCTACTGATTCCCAGCCAGCCTCCAGAACAAAGAACAGGCCTTAAGAAATTCAAAGAACTAATTTTGGTGCAAATTAATCATTTTGGATTAGATCATCTACTTAAATGTCAAATAAAAATAGTTTAAAGGAGATTTCTGGGTAACAGAAGTCAGAAAGGAAATGTTTATCTCCACCTCCTTTAGCATCTTGTGTAGAATATTCCGGTGGCCTCTTCCTCTTGCATCTTCACATACTTTGGAAAAATTGTACCTGTGATAAAATCACATTCACCACTATGGTTTTCTTCTCTCAGACGAGCCAAAGATATTGTGCTGAAGTTCGAAGGGAGGCTGACCAGGACCCGAGGCTACCAAGCAGCAGGCGCAGAGGTAAGGAACAGACATGGGCACCATGTCCCTCTCTGCCTGTGGTCTCCAGGGGCTCATTTGCCTTCATCCTTGACACTGTACTAGGTTGTGAGCATCCATCACTAACAGTTAAGGAGCAGGGTGAAGGAAGAGTGGAAAGTTTGAATTTCCAAAACCTTAGATTTCAGTCCCACCACGTACCAGTTCTACAACCCTGGATAAGCCTGGGTTATCAGGAAATGGATGTCTTGCCTTGTGACTGACCCTACCTGTGCATGTAGGTTCATCTGCTCATGGCTGTACATAACTGTGCCATTGTGTCCTTTCAGGTGAGAGTGTTGCAAGTGTATCCCAACCCTCATTTACACACAATGCTGAAATATATATATAATTGCTGTATGTGTATATAAAATCAATGAAAGGGTATCGGGGCTTTTCATAATAGCAAACTCACTGTGCATGAAAGGTAGAGTTTCTCAGCAAACTGAGTTACTAGAATCAGGCTTTCAGAATGACAAAGGTAGTCCACCTTTCCATCCTTCCAACATATGGCCTGAGTTTTCAACAGCAGGCATGGTCATCCATGCATCATTGCCAACCTCATTACCAATGGCGGGCAGAAAGCAGTTCGATCCAGTTCGGTTTAATCTTATGTCACATCTTATGTTGGGCTCTGGGAACCAGAGATGGTAAAGCGCTGTTTCTCCTGCCCCATGGAGACACAGCGAAAGGTCAGAGGAAACTCCTCCTCCCACCATGGCTTCCTAACACTGGTTCATCATCTCCCTATGAAAGACAGAGTTTCTTCACCTTTTTCTGTTTAGGAAAAAAAACCTTTCCACTGGAAACTTTGATGTGAACCCGTGGGGACCAGCACCCCTGGGGTGGAGAAGATAGAGACATCCAGCCATCTTGTATATTTAATTACAATTAGAATTAAGTCCAAACTCCTTCCCATGGCCTGCGCCCAGGATGTCACCTTCCTTCTCTCTCCCAGCTTCTGTGAAATCCTGGTCCCAGCCAAACACACACTTGTGCTGGCTCTTCTCCCCTCCTAGACAGCTATTCTTCCTATTTTTTTTTTAAGTTTTGATTCCTTTTCACTCAAGTCTCAGCTCAAGTGTGGCCTCTGTAAGCCCAATGTTCCCTGTCCTCCTTGTGTAAAGAGCCTTCTCCTCGAGTCCTAGAGGACTGTGCCTAATGGTGGTGTTGACTCATCTGTGACTGAATGCAACTCCACACCGGTGACATCTTACACATCTTACTCACCTCTGTACATACAGGAAAATGTAACCGAGGTGCTCATTGTATTCTATGAATGGATGTACTTTTCAGAAACTATCATATGTGTTCTTAGAACACACTTGTTCAAGGTGAACTTATATATCTTGCCAAAGAGAAAAGATTGAGCTTTTGTAACCAAAGTAAGTTACCAAACTTAGTAAGTTCCCACCAAAATAACTTTCTAAAATTACCAAAACTTACCAATTACCAAAATTCAATAGCTCTTACCAATATAATAAAACTGAGTTACCAAAACTGAATAACTCAAGCCCACAATTTGGATCTATTTCTTCCAAGTTTGGGTTTGCTCTTAAAATCTTGAATCCTTTCAAAATTTCAAGGTTTTTGCCAAGGAGATTTGGTGCAAATCATCAAAGAAATGTGACATTTTTTTTCCCACACCTTACTGAATTGTGGCCATCAACAAATAACCTTTTAAAATCATATTTGCTTCTAAGTATTTCCTTTAGGCAAAATTAACATAGACTCTCATTACCAAAATGAGTCTGCATGGGGGGAGTCCTTCAAGCCAGTACTCTCTGAACAGATTTGGGGGCCCTGGCTTCTTGGACACTAGAAGCTGGAGTGGAGATTCTGCATCATTCCCAGACAAGAGCTTACTGCCTGGCAGTGAAATTCTCATGCAATTTAAAATGCGAACAGCAGTCTGCAGGCCACTGACTGAGCCCTACTTCTTGTCCAGATGAGCAAACAGCATCCCAAGGAAAAAAACGATTTCCCCGGGGGCACATGGGTCTGCAGCCCAGGTCCCTGGCCTCCTCTCCTGTGCTCCTTAGACTTCAGGACTTTTAAACAGACTGAAGACCCAAATGCTTGCTAAGGTAATTCCTTACCATGGAAGTTTCAGGGCCATTGCCTCTACACACTACTGGGGACAGAGGATGAGGAGCTTTGGTCTTGTTTTTGGTGCTTGGGAGGTAAGCCATGTGGACAAAGTAAAGTTAGAACATGGCAAATATTTTAAGGGAAAGAATACTTTTTGTGTGAGGAGTTTACAGACAGAGCCATTTATTTCTGGCCACAGAGTCTGTGTGATGTGTGAGTGGCTGCATCTGAGTTGGCTCTGGAATCAGGAGCAGAAGATAAACATTTCCAACTTCTGATAAAATTCAGATTTTCATTTGCAAGTGGCCGTCTGGCCCTAGCAGGCACATCCAGAATGACGTGATCCTATGAGTCTGTACCAGGACTGCCTGCTGTCTTACAGTTCAGAATGTGGTAATCACATTTGCAACCCTTCTTTGTGCAACGGTATTATTTGCTTCCAACACAAACCCAGGTTGTTTGTGTGTTCAAACGTACAACCTGCCAACTCCGCTAGAGACCAGAGCCAGTGTCGGGGCTCCGAATGCATCATTCTCCTTTGAGAAAGAAAAATTCGCAAACGTTTGGCAATTTTATCATAAATCCACAAGTTCCCCAACCTTCTTCCTGGTAGCTTCACCAAGGAGAAAGACCAGGAACATAGCAAGAGCACACAGGATGGGGCTCATTTTCAGGCTCTGAGTCTTTAGACAGGAATGCAGGTGTGACCCCCCCCCAGGGACTTGGTCAGTCACATGGACACCTGGGCCCCACTCCCAGAGCTATCTTAGGTCTATGAGAAAATCAAATGGGTATCTTGAGATATCATTCCTTAAGTTCTTTCTATGGTATGAATAAGCTGTGACCCTAAAGTCTATATACTTCAATATGACACCACAGCTCAGAGCCCAATGCAGGCATGTGTCCACTCACTTGATGGGGACACAGAGAGGACAGAGGGCTACTTTGATGCAAGGCTAGGGCCTGTGCAGCCATAATGAAAGCAGAGAGCATGTCAGGAGCCCCTCCTCCACCGAGGATCTTGGTGTCACCGAGGCACCACCACTCACATCACCGTACCTCTCTAATTCTGGCCTCTCCTTGTCTAGCTCTGGCGGAAATTTGCTCGGCTGGCCTGTAACTTTGTGGTCACCTTCATTCCCTGGGAGATGAGGATAAAGAAAATCGAGAGTAAGTGTCTGTACTCGGGGAAGGAAGGCAGGACTCGTGGGCGATTCACAGCCTGAGAACATCTGTCCTGGTCCTGGTCTCACAGTAGGTGTCATCCTGCTCACATAGGACACAGGGATGGAAGATAGAATCTATCCTCCACCACCTTCCAGACTGGACACAGTCCCCAAGCTGCCTTTCCACATTCCCAAGTGGCTCTGTTGTTCTCTTCCAGGTGGTTCCTTCAGTCAGACACAACAAACCCCAAAGGACTAAGTGACAACTTGTGAGGACAAATAAGATAGAATGAGGACATGCAAAATGCGAATTTGAAAATCTGAATTTCGTAGAAACATATGCTAATAAATAAGTAAATCGCATCCACCATCACACTTACAAACACCCACACCACACAATACAATACAGGAATAAACAGTAAGTCCGAGATAAAGAAAACTAAAATTAGAGCACAAGCTATAAAAGTCTTGTGAGGAGACATGGAAACATTTAATGTTTGGAAGGTGTTGACTTTCCCAAAAACTGATTTAGAAGTTTAACCCTATTCCAATAAATGTCTCAACGTATGGCTTTGAGTACTTTGACAAAATGATCACAAAAGTCATGGAAGAAAAACGTCCACGAGATAAAAATTTTAAATTTAAGGGAAAACGTAAATGAAGCTGAATGACCAATATGTTAAAATGCATTATAAAAAAAAGCTCAAGAGTTGAAACAGCATAGCATAGTGCAGGAATTAACTGAAATTCTTCAGGAATAAACAGAATGTTCAGGAATAGACAGAAATAATATGACCCCTTGAGCATTCAGTAATTATGGGAGTCATTCTCATTTACTCCATAAATAGTCCTAGAACAATTGATTCAACTGTTTCAAAAAATAATTTTAGTTGCTTCAATTTAAAATCCTACCAAATATTTAATGTACAATTAAAAATCATGAAAGAATTAAAGAAAATGTAAGTAATAGGGTCTCAGACTGGAGACCTGTCTAATCATGAAAGTGGAGGAAGACATTATCAAGGAAAGTACTGCTCTATTTTAGTACATGGAAAATAAATTTTGTGCACGTAAAAAGAAAAAAGTCAGGTGAAAAATTAGGAAAATAATTTTCAGTATTGAAGTGAAATTAAGCACTCTCTTACTTTTTAATTTAGAGGAAGTGTAGATGTACAGAAAAGTTACAAGTTCCCATGTACCCTTCCTCTCCTGTATCCCAGTTATTAACGGCTAATGAATTGTTTATCTTGAAATTAAGAAAAAAAGAATCCTTAGAAAATGTTTTGAATTCTTAAAATTATGCAAGAAGGAAATACATCAAATTCTCAAAAGATAAAATCACTTCATCACACACATGAAATATTACACATTTCATAGAGCATTTCAGATTGGGGAGATGATTATCAAACAGCATTTTTGCAACTAGAACGATCAGATATTAACAGACACCCTGGTCCATCCACGTTGACATTTGGGGACATTTGGTTCCATCATGGTATC